TTGCTGAACTTGTCCCTAGTAAGTTCAGACGCTCTGGCACAGCTTGCTTCTGCGTCGACATCGCCAACTTGCTTTTCGCGCATCAGAAGAGGAATGTGAGCTATGTGTGCACCTTGGCAAGCCGTGGCGGGGCGTAGCCGATCTCGTGACGTCATCAGCGACGAATTCTCGAGACGTCATCTGATACCCACCATGGATGACAGAGCAGCTTCCCGTTTTGGTCTTTGTTTTGACTTGTCGCTTATTGCTTACTTAAAGTTACTGACGAGTGCCTGGGCAAAATTAACCACCTTAGCCTTTGCAGGATTGTCAATACTATTTGAAAACAGCATTATCTCAGTATGGTCGAAAATGCACTGGAGTTCCTCTTTAAGAAAACAAAGCATCTCTTCATAGCAAAGCGGTGTGTCAAAAACTGTTGAAGGGTAATCTATCCTAAATGCAATCAATTCTTTTTTTAGTGCCCTCAAGACAGATGAAGCAGTGGAATAGTAACAAATTTTCCGTGCCAGGGTAACCTAGCAACCTTGCGTACATTTCTTAATGGCCAACATTTAACACCAGAAAGCTGTGAAACCACAAAAACATCAATGGTGCCAATAATAAATGGCTTCTCATACACGTTTTCTTTTACTTTGAATTGACGGCCAATGATGCAGGGCACCTGCATACCTCTCAATCTTGCAAAACTCTCTACAATAATGACAGAAGAATCTATCATGCAGCAGTTGTTAGGAACCTCTACACTAAGCATGAAGCTATCAAATGTAGCCTGTTTGTACAAGGGTGGTTCACAGGCGGGTAGAAGGGGTACATCTGAATGTTCTTTTGAAAACTTAATTTTGTCAAAAGATGGAAGATCAGCTACCTCGCCATCTCGCTCCTTCAAGCGATTGTATAGTTGGGCAAGCGGAGTTTTGTGGCTTTTCAAAAGCCGCTTGAGCAACTGCATATTGTTCTCGAATGGAAATGCACTGAAAGTGTCCAGGGGTCCGTGCTTGCGTACATCATTTCCAAGATGTAATAAGCAGTAAATAGTATAGGAAACCTGGTCACTTCCATACAACTTTGAAAACCACTTACAAAGTACTGTAGAAGGGACTCTGCATAATCAAGATGCTGCTGGCACAGGCTTGCATTTGAAAGAGTATAAGTTGCACAATGTAGTGCCATGAAGTTCCTGTAAAGAGAAGGAGCTAGAACAGGTCTGAGCACTAGAGGCCCGCTATACAGAAGGAGGAGCCTGAATTCTGTAGCTTTCCAGCGGTCAGCTTCAGATAAACTTCTTGGCTTGCGAGCAAATTCTTTCGACACATATGGTGCTAACAACACATTAAGGTGAGAGAATTGACTGCGCTTTGCAGGCCCAAGGCGTATGTCTAAAGGACCACTTAGCCAAGCATTGAGCAGCTTTTTCGTAATCCCCAAACACAACAGATGCATATAGTCCAGTGGTGCAGAGGTCACACAGTCTATGGACAGTGATGTTAATACTGATGTGCCCCGGTGATGGTCAGAGTCAATCTGACGCCTGAAAGAATCATCCGTACGCAAAGTGAATGACGTAGTAAGGAAGCTGAGTCGACTGTTTCTGTATGTACCCTCAGCTGTGCACTTAGGACACCCAAAATAACCTGTATGTCCTTTAATCTGAAACACAAATGATCGTGCTGGGGCATCCAAAACAAAACACTTCAAAGAAACATCAAATAAATGCCCATGAAAAATCATTCCTTGGGAAAGAAGCTGTTGCAGGTCACTGACAAGTTTGTTGAGAAACTCATTGACTGAAGCAGGCTTTCCTGGGCCTGCGAAAATTCCAACTACAAAGGGTGGTATTCTTCGATCTTCATGGATCATGCACTGTATGGGCCACAACTGCATGGTGGAGCTTTTGGAAGTTGGCAGCTCGTAAATGTTAAAGGCAAGAGAAACATGACTGCCTTCATAACGTGCTTTTGACAAAGCATTCTCGAGGCTTTTCTGTAGCCCAAAGTGGCAGTACTGTACCAGTACTATTGAACTGACAACAGGTGCACGCTGTGTATCTCTAGGCGTGGCGAGAAGAGTACGAGCTTCGCTAGGCAGAGATGAAGAATCGAAAGTACTGACCTTGAGAATTTTTAGAAGAGCGGACAAAGCTGTATGAGTAACATTTTTTTTGATGGCCCAACTGTGCAGTTACACAACAAAATCTTTGTGCTTTGACAATGCATCAGTGGAAGATGAACAAACAGGTACCTCCGGGACTCCGCTTACAGGAGAAGGCACATCGCTGAGTTGCACTGGCGAGCCTTTGGGTTCAGTGTGCGATGCTCCCCTGGACGAACAGGGTGAACATTTTGTGGGCGATGTGTCCGTTGAGTCACTTTCGGTGACGCAAGGCGAACTGCCCTCAGGGGGCGCCGAGCTGCAGCAATCCGCCTGAGTAGCTGCTGATGTAGCCGCAGTGTTTTCGTCAGCCCCAGGCACGCAAATGCTCGCACACTCACTGGCACAGCATGTGTTACTGCATGCGCGTAGTGTACCACACGCACTACTGCATTGTTCGAAGTTCCCGATTCCTTCAGACATTGACGGCTGGCTGCCGACTTGAAAACCGAAATCCCGAAATATTGACTTTGTTTGCAATGACGCTTTCTTGCGCGTGTAAGACTTTTCCTTCGCTTTAGGCATGCTGGCACCTGCGACGGAAACACATTGTAGTACTCATACGAAGTTCTGAAGTCTTTGACTGTATTCTTAATAAATAAATAATTGTAGCTGTCTTACCTCCGTAACTGGGGAAGAAAATACAATCGTATCTGCACTGGCACTTTAAGCACGCCGCCATTATCCACGGGACTAACAGAACAAATCCAGTGGCTTGGCTTGACTGGGCGATGGCTCGCCAAACAAAACTTTTTTTTTCTCCGCTGTTTGGATAGATCACCGTCAATATAAACAACCTCGTTAAAGTAGCTTTATAATATTTAACAATTAGACGGTGTATTACAGCCGTTTTTGATGATAATTATTATCAAGTAACCTAAATTGGAAACGCCATTTTCGTGACTTCTTTCAGTTTTGACCTGAATGTACTTCAATGTACTGAATGAATGAATGTGCTTTGACCTGAATGTACTTCAGGCATCATTATATATCGGCAGTAAGTGATTAGGTTTCACGCTTTAATACTAGCTATGAGCTGTTATTTTCTGTTCGCATTTCAATTCATGCATGCTAACTGTATTTAATAATCGAGTGTATAATTAGGCTCATTAACTAACCCCAGTACATGTTACACTTACAGGCACATATGCAGAATGCCGTGCAAACTTGGCAAAGCTCGTAGATAAGTCAGATCTTTCTAGTTCCGACAATTTCGGTACTAAGAAAAGGAAGAGGACCAAGCCCCAGCGCTACATTTCCAGCTCAGATTCCGATTCTGACGGCCCTCCTGCACCTCCTTTGCAGCTTTCTGCACAGCACACACCATGTACGTAAAATTATTTTGCTTGTATAATATATAGGTAAGCTTCTTGTTTGCACTGGAACGCTGAATACTATCTAGTGTATACTATCTAGTATAGGCTGGGTGAAAAGCTGATTCCCGATATTGTGCACTGGTTATTGGTCGGGGTTTTTATTTGTGGTGCAGAACAATACCATCTCGTAAACCTTCGCAATCTACCTTCACTGTCACGTGAATTAGGTGCAAATTAAAAATAAACAAGCAAAATAAAGTGAAAGTGCCTCTCAGAGTGCGTATTAAAAATTTTCATGACATTTCTTAGTTTCTACTGCAAGCTTTCCTGTTTCATTTGAGCTTCCAGGGTGCACACAATTATGGAAAATTCAGAGCTGATATCCCTCACAACCGATTTTAGGCATTCACCTTACATATTTTTGCAGCTTCTAGTCAGGAGCCATGTGCCCAAGCCCAACCAGAGTCTGGAAGGGACCACGAACAGATGGCTGATTGTGCAACAGATAGTGCAAAAGATTGTCCAGGTAAAAAAATTTTCATAAAGGTGATTTTAGTGCTTAATGCACATATGATTAAACTCGCATCACATTGTTATTTTATTGATTATCCGATCCAACAAGGTCAGTTGAGGAGGAAGAACCGGCGGAAGAATGTCATGGTAAAAACATTTTTCATAGTAAAGGTACTTTTCTTGCTTAATGCATATAAATTCAAGATCACATTATGTATTAATCAATTGTTTTGTTTTTTATCAGACTCGCCAAGTTCAGTGGTGCACAGGGACGAGGATGTTTCCTTGAGGGTCCAGAATTCAAGCAGCTGTCAGCAGAGTTTAGAAGCCAGCCCCATTGTCCTTTGTAATCCGCTCACTCATCTTATTTTTGCACTCGATGAAAACTTGGGTTACTAGAGTTGGGTTACTAATTTCTGTAAATAATGTTTCAGCTGTTCGACAAAAATCACAGTGTTGAGCTGTGCTGGTAAGTTTTCTAGTGGAAGTCGCTTGTTCTTCACTCATTCATTGCTCCTTCTTTTTTTTAGAATTCCAGCGTCGTTTTATGACGCACTTGAGCATCCTTAGGCACAACCAGGCTGAAATGCTGGAGATGCTAGCAGCTAACCAACAGAAGCGTTGCGATTCAGAAATGGAAATGTTGCGACAGCCTGAGCCATCCCTGCAAAGCCCCTTAAGGAATGTTCAGGAGGTTTTAGACTTCAATGAGTCTCTCACTGAAGCTACAACAGAAGCTCTGGTACAGTTCAACAAAATGTTTCATTCAGATGCTAGTGCTGCAGATTTGCAAAATGTATGCCAGCAGAGTTTACGCAATTTCCACTCTAAAAGGCTTGAATTTTGATGAGTATGTTTCTATTTCGCTAGCTTTTAAAGATTTATAGCTGTAATATTTCACTGACACACCTGCATGCGAAAAGTTACATGGGTCTTAAACACTTCTTCCAGGTCCGTGACCTTATGTCCTACGGCTCAAGGACATTAAATTTGACTGTGAAGGGCATGATGGCCTATATAATGAGCAATCAAGCTGCGTGTGAGTTCAGCATGAATGGCCGTAAAGGCAAGCTGAAATTCAGAGAACTTAAGTTCACCAAAATTGTGCTCTGTAAGTATGCATATTCACATCTGTTCTGTGTGTTTTAATGCTTTTTTTTTCTTCAGCGGCTGTTCAGCGGACACGCCACCACAAGGAGTGCACACTCGACGACGTTGTCCACCAGATAAAGGAGTGGCTGCGCAGGGCCAAAAAAAAGGTGTGCGGCCAGTGACAAGGGCTCCAAGGCTGAAATGCAGGACCAATGAGTTTTTTTTTCTGAAACCAGAATGGGCATATCGTGCTGAAATGTACAATTGCAAATAAAATCTGATTCAGTCCAATGTTTTTTTTTCATGTATACCTTATTGCAGGAATGTTTAGCACTGCTGGTTTTAAGTTCATACATACGAAGCTTGAAATTAGCATTGGTATGCTTAATTAATATGCATTGTTTTAGAAGGTAATTCGTGGATTTCATACAAAAATTTATGTGGAACGTTGCTATATTCAATACAATAATACATTTGGGCCACTGTGCAAGAATACTTACCGTGAGCGAACTCCGGGACTATCCGCTGCCCGATAATGTTCTGCTTAGCAATGAGCTAGAGCGATAATGATAAGAACATTGTTCACCCCGGCTCCCCCCCCCTCTGCGTAAGAAAGCCCGGACCCAAGACGTAGGGAAGTAGTGACGCTCATTTATCGTCGCCACAACACCCTCGCCAGGCTGTCAATCTCCTCCTTTATCACCTCTCGCGGTGCCGCTCTATGAGTGTCGCGTAGTTGATAACGCGCAATAACCCGGTTTTCTCACATTTGGAAACCGTCGCCCGCATGCCGGATGTGCTTTGCGGGATTCGCCCGCCACGTAGTACCCTCAGTCCGGCGAGCCATGCATGCCGCAAACAAGAACATAATCGGTTCCTCCCACTTGACGTTTAGTCCATCCTCACATGCAAGCGCTCGCTCCGTGGCATTTATTTACCTAAAGTATTTTTACACGTGATTTGTAATAAACGTTCGGCAGTGAAAAGTTAGTCTATTCAGTGATAGATTGAGTGTATGGTTTCATTTTATATCTTTTGCTATAGTAGTCAACGGGATAAAAAAAATTTAATTGATTTCATGGAACAAGTATTTTTAAAACTGTTGGTCACTTTCGACTGACAGAAACTAGTAAGATAAGTGCACAATATACTACAAGCAATGCACAGTATACAACATAAATTATACGAGCACATATATTTTTAACCCTGACAAAAAGTGCACATGCCTTAAAAAAACCATGAACTAGATGCTATATTTTGTTACGTTTCAAAATAGGATTGATATATGGGGTTTAACGTCCCAAAACCCCCATATGATTATGAGAGACGCCTAAATTTCTACCACCTGGGGTTATTTAACGTGACCCAAATCTGAGCACACGGGCCGACATTTCTGCCTCCATCGGAAATGCAGTCACTGCCGCCGGTATTTGATCTCGCGACCTTTACGTTTCAAATAACCGTCGCATTCAGTTCAGAATGCCGTGAAAATTAAAAAAAAACAATACCTCATCCTTGAAGGGCTTTCTGGTTTCCCCAGCGTGTGTGTTGGCCTGGGAATCGGCATGCGAGTCAGCTCATGCCATCCTCGGAAACTGTCTGCTCGCAGATACACACATTCGCCACTACTCCGGCCGCTATACAAGGAGAGATGAGCTCTAGATCTGAAAGCAGATCACTTGTGGATCACCATACGCAATTAAAGCCTCACTATTATCACAGGATTTAGAAAATTTCTGATGACTGCGAGCATAGGTTATGCTCATACACTGCAGTACTCCAAAACTAATTTCAATTCCCATGTGTTCTTTGGAGCCCTTTGATGGATAGCCAGTGGACATTCGCAACTGGCTGTTCCACTAAAATCCTGTTCGGATATCCACCAGAAAGCCACCTAGTACATCCCGTCAATGGACCTTCCTTGTACGTCCAGGGAATGTCCATGCTGTGTCCACTCTGGATATCCGAATTTTTCGAACTTTGGATTCATAGCGGACAGCCGACGGATATCCGTGGTTACTTGGGTCTGCCGTACGGGCTGAATTTGCATTAGCAGTACTGTTAGTGGAGCCGTAAAATGCACTGAATCATACACAAAGTGCGCGCGGCCTTGAATGTACACAATAATGAGGCCCATTCAGCAGCTCCAGCGATGAACCGAGGTACACCGCCGCTACCGCGTCCGACGACTAGCCTCACTCACGAGTACGGCAGGGTGATTCGATGAATGAGAGCTGGCGTTCACAAAATGCTTGCTGATGTGCAGTTTACGTCTCGTTGTTTTTCCCATGCACAGAAATAGGTGTCCGCTATCCACGCAGTTTAAGCTACGGAACGATAGACTTAAACGAATGAGACAGTTCGCAGTCGCTGTTCCCGTTGTGCTCGCATGCATTGCATGTATAGCTCGCAGAGCTCGCCACGGCGGCCGGTGCGCAGTGCGAGCTCGATACGATGCCGGCTTGATACCGACGCCATAGCGAGGCCTTCCTACCGCTTAGATGTTGCAACCGGTAAAATGCCGGTGACACTCCGAGAACTCACCATCGGCGGACACAGGGCGAGCGCGTCGCCGGCGCAACTCTCAGTCCGGTTGCTGACCAGCCTGCCGTGGTCGAGCGAAGCCTACTTCGAACCGCTTCGAATTTTCACGGTGCGATCGCTGACGATCGTACTCTGCCTCGTTCGGCACTCGCCTTGTATTTAGTCATTGACAGCTGCGGTCGCAAGGCACAGAACATTGTTATACATCCCAGCAGCCTTCATTTTTTGTGAAACACATTCTTTGCCTCGCCGGTGGTCGGTGCTAGCTCGTAGCGCTTGCCGCGGTGGCCGGCGCGCAGTGCGAGCTCGATACGATGCCGGCTTGATACCGACGGCTAAGCGAGCCCTTCTTACCACTTAGATGTCAGAGCCGGTGAAATACCGGTGAAATACCGGTGACACTCCGAGAACTCACCATCGGCGGACACAGGGTGAGCGCGTCGCCGGCGCAACTCTCAGACCGGTTGCTGACCAGCCTGCCGTGATCGAGCGAAGCCTACTTCAGACCGCTTCGAAGTTTTTGACGGTGAAACTCCAGGAGCAGCCGCTAGCGATCGTAAAAGCTTACTTTTGCTACCATTAATTTTTTCTTCGAGGTTTTTTGTTACTCGGCCCTTTGAAGCGTGGCATTCACGGCGTTTCGTCGAGGAATCGGACCGATGTGCAGCGTGGTTTAACGGTGCGAAATATATTGAAATGTTCACAGTAAATACCAACCGGTCGTTGCTATTCTTCGCTGCACTTATAATTTCGTTGCGTGTTGACAGATGCTTACACGGTTAGCCACACAAAGCACATGTGTTTCACACTGACGTGCAAACATACGCCCGTACACACACACACACACACACACACACACACGCGCGCGCGCACACACTCGTCACGCCCAAAGAGGGCTTTTAAAGCTCCTATAGGGAGTTTGTAACCCCGTGACCTGAAACTCCCTGGGGAGTTTAACAAGGTCATGTCGTTCATAAACTCTGTGATTAAGCAGGAGGCCTTTTACGATGACATGTGCCGAGTTCACTCCCTACCAGGAAGTAAATAATGGGGGAGGGGAGTTTTGTGGCCTCACGTGCTGGAGAAACTCCCATCTCGGTTAACTTTTGCTTACAGTGTGCTTGCAAAATACTCGGAGCGTTTAGAAATATCGATGGCTCCATGGCACGGCTGCTCGGAGTTGTTGCGACGCGTACCTCCGATGACGTTACGAAGGGCGCTACGAATCTCACCGCTGCAACCATTGTTTCGAAAGACGGCGACGCCAACACGGTCCCGAAGGCGCCACTGTTCGAATTCCGCCGGGAAGGTCACCAGCCGTTTGGTAGCGTAGGTTTCTCAGCTCGCGACTGCTTCTGCGTTGAGCTGATAGACGAGCGGACGAGGCGACGGTGAGTTAAACAAGGTTTATGTACAGCATATATACAGAGGCGTTACAAATTCGGCACTGGGGCCGACAGAGACGCGAAGAGCCGAGCTCTCCTCTGTAACACATAGCTCTAATCTCATATGGGTCTCCTAACAAAGGGGTCTATCTCGACGCGCCGCAGGGTTTCTTTTATATGCCCCGGGTCCAACCCAAATGTCCAACCCGAAGCGCCGCTGGTCGCGAGGTCAGAATCCTCCAATGAGGTCGCCGCTGGGCCGCGTCCTTCTTTCTCATTGAATCTGGAGAGGCTGCGCTGCAGGTGGCTGCACCCAAGGACGAGTGACGTCGCCGCGCATTGCGTCAGCCGCCAGACAGGAAGACGCCGGTTGTTTACTCGACGGGCTCGCGGCTGAGATGACTCACTGCACGTGCGCGCAGAAAGGCGCCGCCTCGTGTTGACGCCGTTGAGTTGTTCGTGTCAGGCGGGCTGGCCTTGACACAGATTGCCTTTTTCAGAGGCACGGACGTTCGCTGTGGACTCGCAGGCATAACAGCACCCCCGCCGCCAGACAATGCGCCGGAAAGACGAGCTGCTTCTACATGGCTCGGATGTCAGGCGCGCTCGTTCGCCAGGTCCCTCCAAGTTCACCTCCAGGGCCATGGGGAGAATGCAGCTCCAGACTCTGTCCCGGGAACACAGCCCATTCTTGAGGACGGATCTCAGCTCCACTGGCTTGTCGCCACAACTTGTCGACCAGCTTCGCTCGTCTCACGATCTTTGGTTTCAGCACTTGTCGATGGTTCTGCAACTTGCCAAGAACGGTTCGACAACAGACAACACACGACACAAGCAAGTGCCCTCGCTCACCCGACAGAACACCAGACAAAGTATAGTACAACATATACCTAGCTACGTGTCTATCGGAATTTCGTTCCCTCTACATCAAGAGGCACATGTGGGACACAAGACTCTTAAAATAAGAACTCGAATTTTCACACGTACAACAACGCAACGAATTAGAATACCACATAAAGTTGGCCCCTTGAGACCACTCTGAACGAGAGCGCTCAGCTCAGGTCGTGATGAGGTCAAAATTTTGCCCCGACTCGCCAGCGAGAAACCGAAAGGTGGAGAAGGTACTAGCTAGAACGCACTGCTCAATGCACCTGCATTAGTGTTTAGCTTTCCTTTTTTCTTTAGCGAACGTCAAAGTTGCACTGTCGGAGTATCACGCTCCATCTCAG